CAACCAACGGTGTGACAAAGAAAGAGTTGATGACCAAAAGTGCAACAGTGACAGATCTTCCAAATGATGTTTCAACATCACAAAGTTCCCAAAAGAAGAGTAAGTATAAGCATGTGTGCTGAAACGTTAACCTAGTGTGTTAAATAGAATTATATTTGGAATGTTTTCTAGACCTCTGCTACCAAAGAACCATGCCCCACCCATATTTCCTCCTAGTCTCTACCAAATAAGAGAATCATTTGGCAACTTTGCTTTGTACAGTGACACTCTAGCTCCCCATAGCCACAAATGGTCAGATGCCAATGAAGATCAATTCAGTGGTGGGCAGTCACCTGTGATATCATCTGGCACAAAAATGTGAGCCTGGCCAACAAATTAGACAGTTTGATAAAAATAGGAAAATTCTTAGAAAACAAATTTCTGAAACTGACTAGATAGGAAGTCTGAAATGACTGAAAACAATGATAAATATTGCATTAGAAATTTAAAATGGTTCCATGAAGAAAGCTCAATACAGGGCGGCTTCACTTGCTAATTCTGTAAAATATTTTGAAAAGAAATGATAATTACTTTCAAATTCTTTCAAGAAGTAGAAGAGGGAACAGCACATAAGTAATTATCTGAGGAGAGTGTTATCCTAATACCAAAGCTAGAAAAGAATAAAAAGAAAAAGCAAGCCAAGTAAACTACAGACCAAATCCCTCATAAATATAGATACAAATATCCTACTAAAATATGAACAAACCAAATTTAATAACATATAAAAAGATAAAAATATGAACAAGTAGGATTTATCCAGGAATGCAAGATTGGTTTAGCACATTAAAAACAGGTAATGTAATACACTATAATAATAGAATCAGTAGATAAAGAAAAATATTTGACAAAATTAAACACACACTAATAATGAAAACTCTCCATAAACTAGAAATAAAATGATACTTCTTCAAAATGATAAAGGACATAAATGAAAAACATACAGCAAACAATATACGTAATAGTGAAAAACAATGTCTTTCTCTTAAGATCTGGGACATAACAAAGATGGCTATTCTCTTCACTTCTGTTCAAAATTATAACCAAAGATTCTAGATAGTACAATAAGGTAGTAGATAGATAGATAGATAGATAGACAGACAGATAGATCCATTCATACAGATTTGAAAGAAGAAAACAAAACAGTTTTTCTTAGCAGACTACATCATTATCTATGTAGAAAATCCATAGGGTCCACAAAAATTACACAAATTAGTAAAAAATATTTTATATCACAGGATATAAGATATATATTAGCAATGATGACTCAAAAATAAAATTAAGGAAATAATGTCATTTACAATTGCATGAGAAACAATGAAGATATATAGGAATAAATTTAACAATATAAGTGAAAGATTTGTACACTGAACTATAAAACATTTCTGTGAGAAATTAAATATATAATTAAATAGAGAGACGTTACATTAGAAGACTCAATATTTTAAGGTAGCAGTTCTCCCCAATTTTATAATTAATTAACATATTCAATAAAATCCCTGTGAAAATCACTGCAAATATGGGGGCGGGGGTTTATTTTTGTTTTGTTGTTTGCTTTTTTATAAATTGATATGCTGATTCTAAAATATATAGAGAAATGAAAAAGACCTAGAATAAACAAAATACTTTAAAAAAACAAAAAACAAAGTTGGAAGTCTTACACAAGCCAATTACAAAACTTACTCTAAAGCAATAGTAATCAAGATAGAATGTTATTGAGGTAATGAATGTTAATAGTAGCATTATTCATAATAGTCACACTGGAAATAATCTAAATATCCATTGACTGATTAAATGGACTATTCTATTGGATTTTCCATTTGGAGTGGATTTGGAATGTTCTAAAACATGGGATATCCATATAATGGAATAATATTCAGCAATTTAGAAAAGCAAAATACTAATGCATGTTATAACACAATGAACCTCAAAAACATTAGGCTCAGTGATAGAACCCTTTCCAAAAACATTATATATCGTGTAGTTCCATTATAAAATATCCAGAATGAATATTTTTATAGGGGAGAAGAGCAGACAAGTGGTTGCCTAAAGCTGAAGGTGGAACTGGGGATTGAGTGCTAAAAATCTCAAGTGAGTTTCTTGTGTTAACGAAAATGTTCTAAAACTAGATTATAGTGATAGTTGCACAACTTTATAAATTTACTAAAAAGTATTGAGTTGCACACTTAAAATTAGTTAATTTAGTTTTAAATTTCTTTATAAAGCTCTGTTTAAAAGCTAAAGAGAAGAAAATGTTGGCTTAGTCCAATCAAATTTCCTTTCTGTGTCATGTGAACTAGAAAACCCAAAGAAATGAACAAACAAACAAAAATATGGTTATCTGTGGGAACTAAAGCAGCAAGGTTTTAGTAGAGTGAGTGGAGACAGCCATGGTGATTTCTAGGCATCCCTATGACATAATAAAAAATACTATGAATAAGTAGGGTTGATAGAGCAGAATGGAGATAGTACATGGGGAGATGGAGAAACCTCATGAGCAAGATTAAGTTGTTCATGAGAGACAGAGAGAGTAGCAGGACCTGGAACTCCCCTGATTTCTGACAGATTTCCATTTCTAGTCTACAAATATATTCATAACTAGCACTTCTCATACCCTGTCCTCCATGATATGAAGGAATCTGTACTTTTATTGAAAGTATCCTGACTAGAGAAGCTAGTAATCGGCCCTAACAGCATTACCAGATGCCATTCATTTTAAATAATGTATATATATTTGTACATGTCCATTGTCTTTAACAAAAAGCAGTTTCTAAGTCTTTTCTTGGGAGGTGTCTTAGGTGGAAGGAGATGGCAAGTGGAAACTGTGCATATCCAAGGCCCACTCTTGTCTTGAAACACATCAGGAACATCTGTTTTTATTCCCCTTTTTATTATGATCATCTTAAGCACAACAGAAAGAAGGTTATCTATTAAGATGCTAATTTCACACAGTAATTGTGAACTAATAATTTTATTTCATGAGACAGTAACCACAAAGAAGGATTTGAAGAGTAGGGTCATTTCTACTTCACATGAAGAACATTTTTTAGGTTAATATTTGGCTGCTTATAAGTATAACCTATCTTGTAGGCAACATATGTATGAAAAGTACCTTTACCAAATCCAAACCTCATAAACCTCATCTCATAATATGATTGCCCCAAATACAAACAAAAATAAAAGTGAACATGCATCTGCTGCAAAATGTGTAACATTTGAGGATTACACTCAATTACTTCGCATGTTGCACTGATACATTCAGTGACTGATGAGGACACTGTCGTTCAGGTCCATAGTTTATTCAAATTAGCACTTATACAGAAGTGAGTGGCCAACCCCATGAGTCATTTAAAACTGCTAAATTTACTTTGATTCATGCAGTACAATGCCCTCTGCATCTCAGTTCTAGGGACTACTGTATTCATTTGGCTTCTAAACACAGTTAGAAGTGACCAAGTAGTGTAAAAAAATACACCCACAAAGCCATTTCTTGAAAAATGAAACACCATGGAAAGCAAGATAATAAAATAAGGGTATTTACTGCTGCCCTTTGCATTTGTCATTTGAGTAACAAGTTCTGTACTAAGTCCTTTGGAAATTTTGTAATAAAAAATCATTCCTCCCCAGATTGTTCACATTCCTCAAGGTGCTTCCTACTTAGTTAGCATGGACTCCACTGGATAATAGTGAGTTTATACACATTTCCATTTGTGCATTATGAAACCAGGAGCTTGCCCAGATTCCTAGTTAGCACCCTTTCCATTTCCACCCCTCACATACATAAACGTTCAGAAATAGTGGAGCTAGCACAGAGAGGCAGAAAGAGAACAAAACAGTCTATTGGTGGGGAAATTTGAACAGATCAAAACTAGTTTTCCTCTTAAACATATGGGCAATGAGTCCTTGAATGGTGACTATCAAATAAAGGCACTGTGGGTACCTTATCTCAGGTGCAGGCTTGATTTGGAGTAATGAAGAGTTAGTGAGGTTTGCTGCTTTACTCCCCAGAAAGATAGAATGTAGGTCAAAATGAAGTTTGTCCTGAAAACAATTCTAATTCTAATTTTTCTCATTCTTTTAAAGTCATCTCTCTCTCTCTCTCTCTCTCTCTCTCTCTCTCTCTCTCTCTCTCTCTCTCTCCCTCTCTCTCTCTCTCCTCTCCCTCCTTGCTTCTCATCACTTTGAATATCTCATGCCAATCTCTTTTGACTGAAATGTTTCTATTGAGAAACCCAGACAACAAAAAGCTAAAGGAGTGAATTACCACCAAACCAGTATTACAAGAACTGTTAAAAGTCAGAGAAAGACAAATACCATACTACAGTATTTCACTTATATGTGGAATCTAATGAACAAAATAAACTAACAAAAAAGTTGTGTGCATTTCTCTTATTTTACTCTTTTATTCTGTCTATAGAATATACATTCCTAGAATCCTAGAATTTTTGATAAATAAATCCTCATTAATTCAGTGCTCTGACATTATAATGATGTGGTGGCCCTTTGAATTAATTCATTTATTTATTCCCTGAAGATCCTTTGGAGGGCATCTGTGTGCCATGCCTTGTAGCTTCTGGGGGTGGCCAGCAATCCTCTGTATTCCTTAGTTTGTAAATGCATGGCTTTAATCTCTGCCTCTTTCTTCACACGGACTTCTTCTCTGTCTTTGTCTTTTCTTATAAATACACTAGAGGCCCAGTGCACAGATTTGTGCACCAGTGGGGTCCCTCAGCCTGATTTGTGGGGATTGGGCTGAAACAAGTCCGGTGCACGGATTCATCCAGGGCGTGTCTGGCCCATCTCACCCGGTCCGATCGGGGCCGATTTGGGCCATCTTGCCCAGTCCTGACCAGGGCTGATTGGGGCCGGCATGGGAGGGACCTTGGGAGGGCTCCAGGGCATGTCCAGCCCGGACCACAGCAGCAAGCTAACCTACTGGTCAAACGTCTGCCCCCTAGTGGTCAGTATGCATCATAGCGACTGGTTGAACAGTCGAACAAACGTCTGACACTTAGCATATCCTTATTATATAGGATGTGTCATTGGATTTAGGGCCCAACCTAATCTAGAAAGATCACTACTGCAAAGACTCTTTTTTTCTAATAAGGTCACATTTGCAAGTTTCAGATGCACATATCTTTCCAGGGAGGGAAGGGGTGTCACTATTTAACCCACTCCAGACCAGATCCTGAATTTATCCTTACTACATGTAGATTTCAATACATTTGTCATTGTCTATATACAGGGCTACTTTGCTGGGCATTGAGGGGCAATTCAATGGAAATGTCAATCATAGGAGTCCCCACCTTCTGATATCTAAACTGTGGAAGGACTGGGTGTGAGACTCTGTCATAAAACTACAAATCTTCTCTTCCTGAGTTCCTTATTTCTTCTCATGGCTTGAACATATGGCATCCTCTTTGACTCTTCTTTTTTCCTTTCTTGTGCACATACTGATGATTTCTGAGGAAATAATAGAAAAGAGAAAGGAAGATGGAAGGAAGGAAGCAAAATAAATGCTTTACTCGCTGGAAAATGAGTCATTCAGGTTTCAATAATCAGATTTGAAAGCAGGCACAGTGCACACTGTAAGAGATTGACAGGGAAGAAGAGACTATTCTCCAAAGAGAATCTTCCTTTGGTAAATTCAGACTTGGCCAAGGAAAAAACGTGGAATAAGATTTTAGATAGAAGGCAAATTAAGATGGACAAAATGCCAATACATGACTATGTTAAGGCAAGTGTTTAGAGAGAAATTCTTGTAAGGATTTTTCCAAGCCAAACCTTCTGCTATCACAGTATATACAATATTACAGACTTGAAATCTGAAGGGGAAAATCTGGCTGTTGTTAAGTAGAAATGAATAACACTTATAAGTAATCAGTAGGTTATTAAGTAGGAGTTAATTGCATTTGTATATAATAAGTAGTTCCTCATATGTTTCCTTTTGCATAATTCTTATTTGAATATGGAGTTGATTTCTACACAAAAAGCATAGATAATTGTAGACATTTTAGATATATTCCTGGATGAACATGAGAATAGCCTGTTGTCTAAAAAATTACACAAAGTCCTGCAATTTTTAAGACAACATACCCTTTTCAAAATAAAAATTGTACATTCTAATCATGTCAAGAGGAACTTAGCTTATTGGTTATAAATAATGATTCTGAAGTAAGATTTCTTAGAGTCAAATAATAGCACAACCATTTGTTTACTTAACTTCTCTGTACCTCAGTTTTCTCATCCATAAAATATTTTATAATGATGTTATGCCCATCTCAGATTCTTGTGAAGATCAAAAGAGATAAAAACAGTGTATGGCAGGTAAACACAATAAATTATAGCTCCTATTAATAATAATCCTGCAAAAGCCCGGCATTGTTGTTGATGACACCAGTTTCACAAATAAAGAAGCAGGTTCAAAAGATTAAATAACTTGGCCAAGTTTAAATTAAGAAGATGAAATTCAAACCCTCTTTTTCTTGCCTCAAACCCCATAAACTTTATTATACTACACTTGTTCCCATTGCAGCTATTTTACATAAAGTAGCTAAAGGAAGTAGAAAACAACCAGCTTTTAATTGGATGTATCATATGCTTGACAAGTAGGTGTTCAATAACTGTAACACAAGAGGTTGGCTGAGTGGCTGTTGGCTGACAGACTATAAACCTATGTATGATTCTAACAAGGTTACTGCTCTCCCTGTTGCCCACTATGCCAGACTTAGTCTTGACTTATTCTTGACTAGTGTGTGTGTGTGTGTGTGTGTGTGTGTGTGTGTGTGTGTGTGTGTGTTTCCTTCCCCTCACATTTGTATGGTCCTCATTTGTTCTTCCCCTTGTTCTGTGTATAACTATATACAGCTCCCAACTTCTTATTCAAATTCTATACATTCATCAAGGGTCTCTACAAGATTTTACCTCAATATTTTCCACAGCTTAATGAGAGTTGCCAGATATGTGTACCATCTGCACTATTATTTATTTAGTACTTTCTTTAAATTGATGCAACTTTTCTTAAATTTGTTTGAAAAAGATACCGTTATCTTAAATGCAAAACCAGTTTCACTGGCACAGGCAGGAGCTATCAAATCACTATAATGTAAGCAAAATAAAATTAAATTCTAGCTAGATTTTGCCGCTTGCCAAAGGCTCTGAGTTTGAGGCTTGCTTGCCCTTGGTTACAAAAAAAATAAATCAAATACTTACCTATAGGGGAGATACCATGATCGTGAAGGTGGTTTCCCAAGGCCAGGCTTATCCACTGAACTCCAGATGTGCTGACCCCTATCATTTCCCCAGATGTGGAAATAAACTGTATCATTTGTGGTCGTGGGGGATTGTGCGCTCACTTTCTCCTGAAAAAGAACAAAAAAATCAAGGTAAACCCATGATAGGTATAAATGACATATTTGCATGAAACAAATTTTAAAACTTCTTCATTTAAATCATCAAATAAACTGAAAGAAAGCAAAAGTGGAATAACTTTATAATTGAGTGTTTCGATGTTGTTTAATGCCACTTTCCAGTACAGCTTATAAAATCTTTCATACAGTGCTATGCATCTCATCCTTTGGAAAACATTAATTTATCTGATCTCCCAGACCCATTATTTCTTTTGTGAACGACTTGATTTATTTATGCCACTTATTTGGGAAGTGTATCATAATGTTTTTTATATGCTACTTAGTTTATAAAATTTCTTGTAGACACATGCCAAAGGAATCCTCGAGATAACAAAGTCTTAGTCACAAGTCATGGTTCAGCCAAAGGAGAAATAATCTCACATACAATGACTTGATCCATGCCATGTATTGGAGAATGATAAAGAAAACTTGAATGGTTTATAGCAAATTATTTTAAGCAAATTATTTTAAATTCTTTATCAGTAAAGAATTATATTTGGGAATAACTATTTATTTTTTCTCCTGGACCTGTTAATGATGTTCTGCGTATAACTATATACAGCTCTGTATAGCTGGAAACACAATATCCTTTGTAAGAGAAGACTATTCAGCAAAGTTACTTGTTGTATTGTTGTTTAAGCTTTCTGTTTTAAAAGCTAATTATTTGAGTTAAAGTTTAGCTTTGTGTTAATGAGGATTAAAGTTTAACAGTTTAGAAGTCCATTTGCATTTCTTAAAACTTCAGTATCGTATTAGAAAATCAAATTCAACAAACAGATTTAATTTGCCAACAATCTTAAGCTGCTCATCTTTATTAAACACCTGAATTTGAGAATAGGTCAAAAGGGTGCACTAAACTCATTCGCTATTCAACTTGACTCACTTTCTCTGTAGATCAGATCTTGGCCCTTTCTCAACACACATGTGTATTCTGAAAAGTATAAATAAAAGACAGGAATAATTATAGTTATCTTCACTTTTGGTTAATCCCCATAACTTAGCCATGTTCACAGCATTCACCTCTATTATGCTTTTATATCCATAGAACTGACTTCAGATTTGAAAGTGGTATGCCTATGAAAACACAGTATTTCTTCAGAATAATTCTACTTGCTTTCAGAAAAATAGTACTATTTCAATATTGATTAAATATTTAAGTTTTGCAGAATTTTGTCCTCAGAATAACAATATATTCATTCATATATAAAAATATGGTCATCTTAGGACTCAATATATATCCAAAGATATAAATTGGTAGATGTATTTTTTAAATTCTGCTACACCTTAAAACATAGTTACTTTTATTTTATATAAGTTTTAACAAGTTCTAAAATTATTATACATTTTTGAAGGCTGAAAAAAAATACACAACTGAAGGTTAGTCAGAAGGTTTTCTCTCATACAAATTTAAACATTTTTCATTCTTAATGCAGTCTATCAGCAAGAAAGGTTATGACCTGATATTAATAGCCAGAGAAACAAAGGGTTTTTGATTGTCTTCGTATTCTAACCCTCTAGCAGCTGATAAATATTTCATCTGCATCTTCCACATACAGCATTATGCCATGTTCAAAAGTATTTTAACTAGTTTTCAAATGTTGGACTTAATTACATAAGCTTTCCTTTCAGAATAGTTTAATGGAAGAAAAGCTGTCTCTTTTAGTAAAAGGAGATGGACACTAGAACCAACAGGCCTGACTTTTAATCATTGTACCCCCTTGAGAAAGTATTTTTACTTCTCTGAGAAGATGTTTTCAGGTTTCCAAATGAGTATCTCTCTTGTAGACATCAACAAATAATATATGGCACTGATCATAACAGTTGCTTTAAAAATGGTAGCTATGATTATCCAACTAGCCATTTTAAATACAGCATTAATTTTCCCTTAAAACTAAATTTAGGTAAGTATAATTAGCCTTAACTATTAATAATAATAGTAACATTATTATTATTATTATTATTATTTATTATTATTTTCTACCCTTATTTGTTCATTCCATATGAGTGTGTTTTTTTACTGAGATCTATTTTGCCATGTCCTGGTGGTGGGCACTGGAATTGTGGCTTGATTGAAAAACGTAATCTTGGATGGACCTAAAGGGTATTATGCTAAGTAAAATAAGTCGGGCAGAGAAAGACACATTCACTATGATTTAACTTATATGGAGAATCTAAAAAACAAAACAAATTAAAAAAAAAAACAGAAATAGACTCATAGAAACAGAAAACAAACTGATGGTTCCTGGAGGAAGGTAAGTGGGGGAGTGGGTGAAAAAGGTGAAGGGATATAAACTCTCAGTTATAAAACAAATAAATCATGGGATACAATGCACAGCGTAAGGAATATAGTCAGTAATGTTTAATGACTGTATGGTGACAGATAGTTACTAGACATATCATGGTGATCACATAGTAATGTATATAAATGCCAAGTCACTGTTGCACACTGAAAATTATAACATTACATATCAAGTAGACTTTAATTAAAAAATAGAAATCTCTGTCCTCATGGAGTTTACATTTTGACAACAATTTTTTTTAAATAAAGTAAATGTTACTGTAGCAATGAAAGTACTGTTGAGCAAATGAAGCAGAGTGGTGGACTAGTATGGAGGGAAAAGAGGACAACTTTAGATAAGGTGGTGGGAGGAGACCTCTTTGAGTGGTGATATCTGAGCAGAGTCGGGAAAGGTAGAAGGAAGCCGGTGTTAGCCTGAGAGAACATGAGGTACAGAGGAGAACAAGCCAACAAGCCCGAGGCAGGAAGAGACCCGTGACTTTGATCTAAGCAGGGGCTGACTGGTTGGAGATGAACTGAGGAGCGAGGCAGGGGCCACCTCCTGTAAATACTTGCCAGCTGTAGCAAGACTAGGGAGCTATTGAAGCAGCCAAATTTAAGTTTAAAAAGGTTTTTCTAGGTGGCCATTATTGCAGGTGCCAAAGGGAGAAATATGGGTTCCAGATGAATAGTAGCCAATTAAGTGGTGAGCGATAGTTGAAATATAACTTGAAGCTAGAGCTGATGGTGGTGACAAAAAAAAGAGAATCAAGAAAGGCCACTACTTTTTGTCTTGTATGGGGAGTGAGAGGGGGTAAGGGGGCTAGGGGTAAGGCCGGGAGAGAGAGAGGGGACAATTGTACTATGCATTGAACCAAGGAGGGGGGCGTGCAATTTAAGAATATCAGTCAAGTAAAGGTACAAAGAAAGCAAATGTATACTTTAAACATTTATTATTGGGCTTCTATTTGTTTCAAAAATATTTTCTATATTTTCCACATGGCAAGAATTGTTTATGGTGAATATACTCAAAGTTGCTGAAGTGAACTTTATCATTCCCTCAAGTAATCTGACCTGTAGAGAGCTCCTCTGCACTGTATTTACTTTGAAGGAATTCCCTAAATGTCAAAGGTATCTGCCTGAACCTTCCTGAATCTTTCCCAGGTCAAGAATCATATCCTACTAGACACAGACAAATGGCAGCCCCACACAGAAAGCACCTGCCGAAGGACCGCTAGTTGTGCTACCTTAATGTATTCAAGATGTGAGATTGTTCTAGACCAGTGATGTTCTAGAGCTCGGTGTGTCAGCATTTTGAAAAACCCTAACTTAACTCTGGTGCTGTGTCACATATAAAAATTTTTCGATACTTTTAACCATAGTAAAACAAAGATGTATATTTTTGATATTTATTTTATATATTTAAATGCCATTTAACAAAGAAAAATCAACCAAAAAAATGAGTTTGTGTGTCACCTCTGACATGCATGTCATAGGTGTTCTAGACCAGGGGTGGGCAAACTTTTTGACTCGAGGGCCACAATGGGTTCTTAAACTGGACCGGAGGGCCGGAACAAAAGCATGGATGGAGTGTTTGTGTAAACTAATATAAATTCAAAGTAAACATCATTACATAAAAGGGTACGGTCCTTTTGTTTTTTTAGTTTTATTCATTTCAAACGGGCCAGATCCGGCCCGCGGGCCGTAGTTTGCCCACGGCTGTTCTAGACTCTCTAAAGCAGGATTCAGCAAATTGTGGTCTGCAGGCCAAATCCAGTCCTCGTCTGTTTTTCCAAGTACGGTTTCATTGGACCGCAGACACACCTATACTTCAGGTATGATGTGTGGCCGCATTCTCACTACAGCTGTAAAGTGAGGTAGTTGCTACAGAGACATGGGCCACAAAGTCTAACCTATTTACTAAGTAGCCCTTTAAGTCAAAGCTGACTGACCCCTGCTCTAAAGTATCTTTTAACCATGAAGCCTCATGTTCTTATTATTTAAGGGAAAGTAAATCTCAGATGAGCTAAGTTCTATATTCATTTACCACTTGAAATAATTATGAGTAGATCCGATACTCAGCATTTTATTTTAGTGATTTTCTTTTCTTTTCTTTCCTTTAAAGCTGAAAATCAGAGTTCAGTCAATACAACAGAAAGACCAGGTAAGTGAATGTTTTTATCCTCTGAGGATGTTTGTGTGTAAAATCCCCAAAACAAGACAAAGTAGATCAACCAGTTTGAGGGCAGGGTGAAATAGTCCAGGGAAAACATTATATAGCAACTCAGATGTTTATTAGAGCACAGGTTTAAAAATAAAAGCAGGCCAGAGGAACACACAAGAATGTGCTTGAATATTCTGTGGCTTTAGTGAGTGGAACCAGCCCTGGTATGTAGATGAAGCCTATGGGATTGTCCTCTGACCAGAACCTGCTTTTCCTGGTCTGTTTCTATGGTTGGCATGCCCTCTCCCAGAAGTATAGTGTGTCTATGAGCTGTTTTCTCTGTATTTCCTAACAAAGCCTGGTCCTGGCATACAAAGAGATGATGTTATAAACCACAGTTAACAGCCTAAATTTTGTCACGCCAAGAAGTGCTCATGTTTTGCCATCCTTAGTTTTAAGCGGATGAATTTCAGATGATGGGACAGCAGGAACTGAAAATGATAATTGGATAGGGGAAGATGGTAACGTTGAATCTTCCTGTTGTTTCGAAATCAAAAATTATTTGGTGGATTTTTATCTTCTTACATTCTATCTGGTACTTTACTAAATGACAAGTCTCTTAGGTTCTCAATCCTGGTCACCTCTGGTATTTATAAAATGAGAAATATGTGAAATAAATATACAAGATCATGTAACTTTTTTAAAAATCAGAAAAATAAAGCCATGAAAATTTTAAGTGAATCTAATAACATTTTCACAGCAAATGGCCCAAATAATCATCATAATCTACCTTCTACTTTTAATGTTCAAGGAATTCAAAACTGAAGTGATTATGCTTTTAACTTTTAACGATTTATTTTCTATATATCTCATGAATGAAGAGTTTAATTTTTATATTATCAGTTCTCTGTATCTCATCTCATCACCACGTTTGCATTCTCATCTCCATTGACATAGTCTGGAAATGCACTCGAAAGAACACTGGAAACAACCTAGCAAAACCAAACATACAGTAGTACATCCAAGCAAAGAGCGAGGCTTGGCTTTGCGTTTGGTGATGCTGTGCATGTCTGGAGAAGTCCTTCCTTCTGGTCCACAGACTGGCTCTCCTAGAAGAGCTGTAGAGGGGGAACTGGGAAGCTGCAGAAAGCCTCAGCTCTTTTTAAGGAGGGACTGAGCATCCTTTCTTTTGTTTAGAAAAGTTCCTTTTGTTTACAAAATGCCAGCTTTAGCTATAATTGATTTTTAAATGTAATGAATAGCTCATTTAGAATATTTTAATTTTGAGTTATGGAAACGAATTCTCCTAAAACAGACAATAAAATGAGCCAAGGATTTGAATAGTGGACTAGAAAGAAATGACACTAATTTCATAAGCCACAAGAAAAGTCAGTCTCAAGTTTCAGATATATGTTGTGGCTAAAGACTAAATCAAGATTCACTAAAAATAATAATAGTAGCATTTATTAACAAGGTATTCATTTAAACCT